CCCCCCCTCTCCTGCACCGAGCATCGTGCCGCAAAGCAGCGCCAGCGTGATTTTTGGATCTTCACCTTCCGGGTCCTTATGGCGGGCCAGACATTCGGACGGATCTTGCTAGAAGTAGATGCGTGAGAAGCGACCGGCAGTCGACGGCAGCAAGGCGCGTCGCATTTGCGGCGGCCGCCCGCGCCCAATCAGGCGCCTCTCTTGGGACTTCCCACCGGCCACTCGAGAGTCGCCAAGGTCCACCCACGCGCGCGAGGAGCGGCTGCTTGAGCAGCTGCGTTCCCCACGCGCAGCAATCCTGAAGGGGGTGCGCGTGGCGCTGCAGGCGCCCTGTGCCTGCGCCCCCGCGACCCCGCCGGTCTCCCCGTGTTCGCGGACCCGCCAACCGCGGGTCAACCTCCGACCCTGCCTCAACGCGTCCCGCCGTGGACCTGCGGCGTGACGCACAACCAGGCGCTGTGGTACTGCACCACGCCCGCCCCCTGAAAAGTCGTGGCACGCGCACGCTCGCAAAGCGCACATCGCACAGCTTGCGTTACTAGTCGGTGTGCCATATTTGGTAGTAAAAACATTTTGCGCGCGCTGAAGGTCACGGCGGTGCACAAGGCCTTGAGAAATTCGGGGCTGCCAGCCGGCCTGCACGGCGCAATCAGCAATCAGTCATGGGTGAAGCGCAATCAGCAAGGGAGAGCAGGCGTGTTTGGTGCACTGAGCGGCCCCCGCACTGAAGCACGAGCAAGCGCAGGGCGGCACGCCCATTATGCGTTGCACTGGGGGCATTCTGGATGGGACGGCATCGGCCACCGGCTCTCTATGCGCGGCGGCCTAAGCACAGCGCCCTGCGTGCGCACGCACGCTGGCCGCGCCCGCCCCAGGATGCGCAGGCGCGGTGCGGGGCCGGGGGGAGGGAGGGCGTGCGTGCGCGTGCTCACGCGAGGCCGCCGTCAAGGCGGGCGTGGCGGCCCCCGACAAACAACAACAGGTTTCAATCCCCCTCTGACGGGTGTTGCCGGGCAAGGCAGGCACGTGCCTGGTTGCGCTTCGCGCGGCTTGGGCTCAAAACAACCGCCGGTTTAGGAGGAAGGGGGGAACGGGCTTGGCATCAGTCAGTCACGCGCCGCCTGCAGACGCCCCGCCCACGCCACTACGTGTGAACCTCAAGTCATGCGCACGCACGGGCGCCTCAAAAGCAAAAGGGGAGGAAAGGTTGGCCAGCCGATCGCTGCTGGCCTGGCCAGCGGCAGGGGCTGGCCAAGCAGCAGCAGCCAAGTAGGCAGCAGCATTCTGTTTCAAAAGGGACTGCGGCAAGGTTGAAAGCAAGAGAAGCTGGGGAGACACGAGCAGGGCCCCGCCCTTTGGGGGTCCCCTGCGGCGGCCCACGCGGCAGACAGGCGCCGCTTTCGCGCCGTGCGGCGGCGCTGTGTCACAGGCGCGGCGCGGCCGATCTGCGGCACGCAGCCGGGCCGCCAGCCGCCGTGGCGCCGGGGCGCGGCGCGGCGCCCGCGTCACCCCATGGGTGGGTCTGTGATCATGTGCTGGTGCAGCGTGGCGCGGCCCTCCAACTTGGCGCGCAGTATATTGTTCTCCTCGCGCAGCAGCTGCACCTCGCGCTTGTAGTCATCCAGCTGGCGGAGGAGTGGGGCGCGTGCACGGGGCGGCGGCCAGGACTTGGCTAGAGGCGGCCGTGCGCAGCTCGTTGACGGCTCCTGCCTGCACGCCTGCACGCATGCATGCACAGACACGCTGTGCATGCAAGCTGCGCATGCGGTGGAAGCGCATGCCCGAACATGCATGCGCACGCGTGCGCGTGCACGTGCCCATGCGGCATGCGTGCGTGCATGCACTGGGGGCGCACCTGCCGCGCCATGTGGTCCAGCTTGTCCTTCTGCTCGCTGATGGTGGCCTTCTGCTTCTCCCTGAACCGCCGCTGCGCCAGCCGGTTCTTCTCGCGCGTGTTGGCCAGCGTCCGGTTGCCGTCGTCCTCTTCCTCCACGTCGCTCGCGCGCCGCCGCGCCTTGCGGCTGCTGCGGCGCACGCGGGGCCGGGGCGAGTTCAGGGGCAAAGTTGTAGAGCAGGAAGCTTGAGCGCGCGCGATCTACAGGTGCGCTCGCATGCAAAGCAGCACCCGCGCCGCCTTGCGCGGAGCGGCGAAACCCTGCGCAGACGCCGCGGCTGCGGCTTGCACGTCGCACGCGCAATGTTGCGCGCATGCGGCGGCCCAGCGCAGCGGAGCGCCGGCCACGCCACGCGAGCGGGCCCTGTTGCGCACCCCGGCCACCCACCCTGAGGCTCCCCCCTGCTCGGACGTCTCCTCCTCCAGCTGCGACTGCGGCTGCGGCGGCGGCGCCGACGGCTGCGGCGGCGCCGGCGCGCCCTGCTCCGCGCCGAGTGTGTGCAGCGCTGCAAAGAGGTTGGGCATGCCGCTGCCGCTGGTGTTGATTGTGGCCAGGATGGCCTGCTGCAGCGCGTCGATGGTTTGGCTCTCGGTCTGAATGCCCTGCGGTGACCGGTTGCGGCCAAGGTTGGCGGCGAGGACGAGGGGTATGGGGTGAGTGAGGGCCTGCAGACGTACTGCGCAGCAAAGGGCGCGACAGCCGGTACAAGGATGTGCCGGCCCGAGCGGCGTGCAAAGGCTGTTCGCTGAAAGACTAGCAACCGCGCTACCGGCGACCCGCAGGCTTAATCAAGGAGCTGCAGCGTGTTGTTGCCCGCGCGCCCACACCAACGCGCTTCCGCGTGCCGTACGCACCTGCAGCGGCGCTATCGGCGGCACCATTTGCTGCAGGTTGCTAGGCAGGCCTGCTAGCAGGGCCGCCTGGGCATTCAGCTCTGCCAACGCCGCGTGCCCGCCGGTGAGTGCGTCGAGCGCCGCCATCCCCGCGAGAGCTCCGCCTGCCATTCCTCCTCCTGCAGCACCCCCCTCTCCGCTCCCCAGCCCCATCATCGCGACCGCGACGGAAGCAGGGTCGCGGACAGCGCGCGCCACGGTGAGAGCAGCCTGCGCTGTGCCTGGTGAGATCACTGCGTGAAAGCCTTATTGCCCAGGTATGTAAGCCACGTGACGTCGAAGCGCAGGCCGTGACTCAGGGCGGACTAAAAGCCGTGACTCAGGGCGTACTCAGGAAGCACTCGAGGCACTTGAGAACACCAACAGGCGCTCCTGCTCCGGTGCGTCGTGGCGAGTTGATGCCCAATATCCTTCAGATTTTCAACTGCATATGGCGCCCGACACCGGCCCCAGGAGCATGCAACACTAGGCGCACACGCTCAAGGTCTCTGACTCAGCACTTCTCTCCCTCAGTTATGCACCTTCTCTATGATTGGTGTAGATAGAGTTGGCAAATGCCTTGGAAGCACACAAGGTCACAACCTGTTGATAGGGCTGTTTGGTTGTAATTTCCTCGTAATCAAGGTACTGCACGCTTCGCATCTCGCAGCAGGGTGGGTGTCAGCTCGTCGCCTTTCCAGGAAGTCCCACTTGCACCAAGGGCACAGGGCAGGCACGACAACCCAAATCTGTCCAGCGATACGGGTCATCCTGTTACATAAAACGCCCGCTTCAGCCTCAGGACCGGCCGTCGGGCTTGGGCCCCGGGCCGCCGTTGAACTGCTGCCAGCACTGCACCCACACGACCATGGCGTCCGCCAGCTTCACAAAGTAGGGGTCCAGCGTGAGGCCCGCGCGCACCTGGCGGGGTGGGTCGTCGGGTGCATGCAAGGAAGTGGCACTTTGAGGATGGACCAGAAGCCCGGTGAGACAAGGGCCGACCAGAGCTTGTCACTCAGCAGCAAGGGAGCTGGGAGCGAAGCCAATGCTGGCACGCCGGCCGTGGAGGCGACCAGGACCTTCCCGCTGGGCCTGACTTTGCCCTCTGATAACACAGCATGCACACCCACACGTGACACACACCCCTACCGACACGCGTGCAAGCGCACACACATGCGTGTGAGCGCGAGGCAGGCGAGCCGGTGTGCATGCCCCCTTTGCAGTCGCTTGCTGCCATCAAGGCCTGGAGCCCCACCCCACCTTTTCGCTGATCTCCAGGTAGCAGTCTGCCGCTGTGGTGCACTCCTTGCTGAGCTCCAGGCTCTGGAAGAACGGGATGATCTCCTCCTGCAGGCGGCACGCATCAAGGATTACGCGCGTGTGCATTGGTGTGTGTGCATTTGAGCGAGCGCATGCGTCCGCGTCGCAAGTATGCGTGCGCGCGCGTGTGTGGGCGGGGTTGCCTGTGGGTGTTTGATAGGGCAGAAGTGGTTTGTCATTCGAGCTGGAGAGCATCCTGCTGAGGAGCTTGATTTCAACACTCTCAGGTCGACTCCATTGAGCTGAGCAGGTCTGCATCGGGAGGGGGGTGCAGGGAGCTGGGCAGCCGCTGCTGGACCGGCTGGCGTGCAGCACAGGGGCGCCCAAGCCCCAGGCCCACCTGCCAGAAGATGCCCTTGTACTCTTTCCGCAAGTTGGTGAAGGGGTTTGAGGCCTTGCTGTGGAATATGTACGGCAGGCCCGTCTTCACGCCCAGCCCCAGGTGGTCGCAGACCACCTGGTGGAGTGACCGCCGGCCAAGGCACGCGGCTCAAATCATGCGAGGTCACGCTATAGGCTCGCATCGCTCTGATGCATGGGGCAGCAGGCCAGGGCGCGCCCGTCATAATAGGTCACATCCCCCCCCCCCGGTCACACACTCAAGGCATTTGGGATGAGGCCTCGCCGCCTCCTAACACACCTGCGCCTCCCAGCTGCACCCACAATTCAAACTGCGTCGCAACCCAAAAGCACACACACACGCGCACACGCGGGGGTGTGCCCCCAAGCGTGCACGCACAGCTCTGCAAGTGCACACGCCCACCTTGGTGCACCACCCCGCCCACATGTCGTCGTAGCGGCCTATGGGCTGCCCCTCCCCCTGCAGCCCAAAGTACATGGCCGGCCCTATGAGGCTGCGGTCAAACGCCAGGTTCATGCCGCACTGTGGTGCCGGGCGGGTTGGGTCGGGGCGTGGATTTGGGGTGGGCCCTGGGGTCATTGGTGGGTGGACGTGCATGGGCGACCGACTCACGCTGCCGGGTACATGCCGCACTAGGGTGTGCGGGGGCCCAGGGAGCCGCACAGCACTGCCGACCTTGGAGAGGCGGTGTCCTGTCGCAAGCGGGCTTGGCTGGGGCGGCAAGCGCTTCGAGATCGGAAGAGGGGCCAGCGCTCTCCGGTGCCCCGCAAGCAGCCGGCCACTGCGTGTGCGGAGGTGCAGTCCATCTGGGCGCTCACCATCGGGTACAGCACGTTCTTGGGCACAGTCATCACCGCGTCAACGTATCGCGTGTTGCGCTCCAGGGGCTTGACCATCTGCACAAATCAACAATCCGGGTTTGAGCGCGAGGTATGTATGGGTGAGAATGGACACCAAGGACTGGCAAGGTGGGTGCGACGGCGCTTGCCGTAGCACAGCTCCAGGCTTGACCGGGCGGCAGAGGCGCAGGTGAGGCAGCGCGGCGCCCCGGCGCTGCTGCACCCTCGCAGGTCGTGTGCTGCCAGGTCGGATTCGCCGTGCATGCGTGGCGCATCGCGGGACGCCGGGGGCGCAAGAGGGCGCTGCAAGAGGGCGCCGCCGCGGCGCCCCACCTCTACCTGTGTGGGCGCGTCGTAGTCCGGTATGTTGAGCCAGAGGCCGTGGCTGATGGCGGTGGGCACACCCTCACGCAGGCTGGGGGCCGCACGCATGGGAGCAGCGAGGCAGAGGAGGGAAGGCGACGAGGAGGCAGCTGTTGTGGGATGCCGAGATGCGTCGACATATGCGATTGCATGAGACGGGCGCATCCTGAACATGGGCGGTCAGGCACTAGAACGAGCACACCGCGCTCCCCCCCCCCCCCC